CTGGACAGGGCCGTAGAAGGTCTACAACCCATCAGCAGCACCATTATCTGCCAGAGCCCTACAAAATGACTTCCAGCAGGCCATTGGTGTGAATGTCTCTGACCAAACAATCAGAAACAGACTTAACAAGGGTGGCCTGTGTGCCCGACATCCTCTAGTTGGTCCTGTGCTCACTGCCCGGCATCATGGAGATCGATTGGCATTTGCCACAGAACACCGGAATAGGCAAGTCTGCCACTTATGCCCTGTGCTTTTCACAGATGAGAGCAGGTTCACCCTGAGCACATGTGACAGACGTGAAAGGGTCTGGAGAAGCTGTGGAGAACGTTATGCTGCCTGTAACATCGTTCAGCATGACCGGTTTGGTGGTGGGTCAGTTATGGTCTGGGGACGCACATCCATGGAGGGACGCACAGATCTATACAGGCTAGGCAACGGCACCCTGACTGCCATTAGGTATCGGGATGAAATCCTTGCACCCATTGTCAGACCCTATGCTGGTGCAGTGGGTCCTGGGTTCCTCCTGGTGCACAACAATGCCTGGCCTCATGTGGCGAGAGTATGCAGGCAGTTCCTGGAGGATGAATGAATTGAAACCATTGATTGGCCCCCATGTTTGCCTGACCTAAATCCAATAGAACAGCTCTGGGACATTATTTTTCGATCCATCCGACGCCGCCAGGTTGCACCTCAGACTGTCCGGGAGCTCAGTGATGCCCTGGTCCAGGTCTGGGAGGGGATACCCAGGACGCCATCCATCGTCTCATAAGGAGCATGCCCTGACATTGTCAGGCATGCATACACACACGTGGGGGCCATACACATTACTGAATACCATTGAGTTACTGCAATTAAATTTAAGCAAAATGGACTAGCCTGCCGCATCATTTTTTCACTGTAATTTTTGGGGTGTCTTTGAATTCAGCCCTCTGTAGGTTGATACTTTTCATTTCCATCAAATGATGTTGTCATGATAGGTCTCTGTGATTAAACCCACATGCAGAACACCACACGAAGCAGGGTAAAAGTTTAACAGTTTATTAAAGAGTTGCAAAAACACAGGGAAACAATGCACTGGTTCTGGTACTGGTCCGGGACTCGGTTTCACAGAATATCTGTAGAGAGGGATAGTTTGGTTAGCCAGGCAGCAGAGATAGCTTGGCAGAGTTTGGATCTTGGTTTGTAGCTGATGAGGTTCAGACTTGTTCAGTAGAGAGAGGGAACCGGTTGGGTCCAGAGACTGTGATTCCAGCAGAGAGTTCAGCAGCGACAGAACTTAGCTTCAGGCTAGCCAGATTCAGACCTTGAGTTGTCCTCTAGTTCTCCCCTGAGAACTAGTTGGAAGATTCTGGCTGAGGATCTTCAGGTTTGGCTTCTTTGGGCAGGCAGGCAGGTTTCCAAACATGAGCTCCTCTAGAGCTACAGCGTTTAGTCGGGTTTCCTGTGAGCAGAGAGGACAGAGACTGATTAGGATCAGGTTACTCTGTAGAGCAGACAGAGATTCTGGTTCAGATTGAGGCTCAGGTTCCGCTAACCAAAACTGGTCAACACTCCGGCGCTGAAGACAGGTCTGGTCGCTGCGCTCTCTGCTGGAGACAGGTGGCAGATCTCCAGATCTCAACAGTTGTGGCATCCTTTTGTTCCTAACACATCACCCAGCCCATATCAGTAGAAATAAACAGCATGTTTTTTTCCCCACTGAGATCTGATGTATTTTCAAAGTGTTCCCTTTAATTTTTTTGAGCAGTGCATTTGTTAAGCGGCCAAACATCGATTTTTTTGTTTGCATGTTTTTCAGCTTTAAAAATAAGATCAACCACAAAGTGTTAACTCTAATAAAAACTAAGATGCTTACGTAGGTTAGCATGTTGTGTTTAGCTTAGATGGGCTTGCTAACAGTTCTTCATGGAACAACCTTCATCTGGCTTTGGAAAATAAATAAACGCTATAAAATTGTGCAAAATGGAGGTGAAATCTGTCCCTTTAAACATTTTCTTTGATGAAAGATATCTTAGGTATGAATATACACTGGTAAGTTAAAACAGTCTGCTGTGACTTCAAGATGACTTCACTGCCCTGCACCATCTAGTTAATTATTGTATTGCAACCATATTCATCTTGAATAAAAACCATTTCATATTTCAGAAATGTGGCCCCATGATGTCAATATACAGTTATGTTCTTGACCAAACAGACAACTAATGAGGCAAATTGCAATTAGTCCTAGTGTTAATGATTAGGCCCAAGAAGAGGTGAGTAGAGAACCTAGAAATTCTAAGGTATAATAGAGGATTTTCCTGAATTTTTGAAAGGAGAGTGCGTACTCTCCACTTAAAGAAAACAATTCACATGCACAACCCTGTAACTGGTCCCTAGAGGGAGCATGTTTGCTATTAAATGCATGACAGAGCGTGCACAAGCCCATTTCTCCTTGTGCACGCTCTGTTTAAAGCTGCTGTTTGCATTGCTCATACAAACTTTCCAAAAGAACATTTGCGATTTTTCCACTATGTCAGACTCACCAGCGGTAAGTGAAAATGGTAAGCACGTAGGACAGCCTGATGTAAACATATCAGCAGAATAATTGATGATTAGGAGGACCACTTACTTAGATGATTCACCTGGAAAACGTCCTCCTCTTTACCTTTAAGCAAGAGTAGCACTACTTCATCACAAAAGTCAAACGTAGCATTTAAAGAAATTACTCCAGCAGGGCTATAAATAAGAATATGGTAAAAAGGCTACTAATGTACTAAATACTATACTAAATCTTATCTATCTGATCGATTTCAGTTTGTTCATGTTAATGACAAATCGTCCTCATGCCTAAAGGTTACCTGTGGAGTACCACAGGGATCAGTGCTAGGACCAATTCTCTTTACTTTATACATGCTCCCAATTGGTAGAATTATTAGACAGCATGGGATTAATTTTCATTGTTATGCTGATGATACCCAGCTATACCTGTCTATAAATCCAGATGAAGCTAACCCATTACATAGATTACAGGCATGTCTGAAGACATAAAAACCTGGATGACTCTTAACTTTCTCCTTCTGAATGCAGACAAAACAGAAGTTATAGTCTTTGGACCAGAGTCTCTGAAAAAGAAGCTGATTAGCCAGTCACTTCATTTGGATGGGATGAAACTGATTTCAGGTAATAAAGTGAAAAATCTTGGTGTTTTTTTTTTATCAGGACCTGTCATTTAAATCCCATATCAAAGAGATTTCTAGAATTTCCTTCTTCCATCTGCAGAATATTCTAAATATGAGAAATCTCCTGTCCAGGGGTGATGCTGAGAAACTAGTCCATGCATTTGTTACTTCAAGGCTGGACTATTGTAATTCTTTACTATCAGGAAGTCCACAAACTGTAGTTAAAAGCCTTCAGCTGATCCAAAATGCTGCAGCCAGAGTTCTGATGAAAATGAAAAAGAGAGATCATATCTCTCCTATCCTGGCTTCTCTTCATTGTCTTCCTGTTAAATCCAGAATAGAATTTAAAATCCTCCTTCTCACATATAAAGCTTTAAATGGCCAAGCTCCATCTGATATCAGAGATCTGATTGTTCCTTATGTTCCTAACAGAGCACTTCGCTCTCAATCTGCAGGTTTACTAGTGGTTCCTAGAATTTCTAAAAGTAGAATGGGAGGCAGGTCTTTTAGTTATCAGGCTCCTCTCCTGTGGAACCAACTACCAGTTTTAGTCCGTGAGGCAGACACCCTGTCTACTTTTAAGGCTAGGCTTAAAACTTTCCCTTTTGATATAGCTTCTAGTTAGAGTGGCTCAGGTTATCATGAGCTATCTCTGTAGTTATGCTGCTATAGGTTTAGACTGCTGGAGGACATAGGGACCCTTTTCATCCTTCTGCTTAATTCTCTGCAGTAATTGTCTCTGTAAAGTGCCTTGAGATTACATATGCTGTGAAATGGTGCTATATTAATAAACCAAATTGAAAATCAAAATATTTGTTTGTTCAAACTCTAACCTTATGCCTTGGCTGTGACTCCATCCTAGAGAGAAATATCAGCTGTGCTGCTGCCATCAACACCTTTGTTTTTAGATGTTGGAGCTTGACCTGTTTTTCAGTGTAGTCCTGTATCTCTGACTGTGACCAACTGGATTTGTTTACTTTCTTTCTCTGACATGAGAGCAGGCTCAGAGCTCGTCTGACTGGCTGTGTGTTTGCTGGGCAGGGCCACATGTGGAGCTGATTGATAGAAAATGTTTTTCTGCCGATTTCTGTATGTCTGCTTCTGTCTCCTTGAACCAAAGTCGGTCTCAGCAGATGGCCGCTCACACTGAGCCTGGTTAAAAGGGTTTTTACCTTAGATAGAAAACTTTGAACCAATCTGATATAATGTGAACATTCATTATAGTGGGAGCTAAATCTGCAAAAGCTGACAAGTTGATGGATGTGTTAAAAAGTATTGAAAGCAGATGGAGATGGAGGACAAGGTTTTGAGATAAGTTTGAAATAAGACTAAGTAAACGCTATTAAATGTAAACCTTGGAATATAGTGCTTCATTTTAACATGATTATTTTGTAATTGGGTGTTCTTTTATAGGCTAGGACCCTGAAATATACACAAATTTCTTAAGGGCATTAACATCAGCTGTAAAGCTAGTGTCAATTGATAGGCAGCCAATCAAAATAAATTCTTTGAATTTAAACAGCATTTTTTTTTTATTATTACAGAGAAAATCAACTGAAGGTCAATATGCATTTCATATTAAACTGAAAACACCTTTTTTATGTTATTTCCAATGTTGTGCCAGTTCATAGAAAAGGAGCTTAAAGTTCTGTTCACACAGATGAATATGAACAAACTCACTTTCATAGTTCACTTTTTCAAAACAAGTTCACAAACCTATAATTGAACTATTTCAAGTTTATTTGGTTAAGGAAGCCACAATCCTCCACAATAGAACCTCATATTTCACCCTTTAAATGTGTGATGATAATATATAGAAAAAAATGGAAAATACTGGATGCATTCAAGGTATACTGGATGTGCAGTGAAGCCTTTATTTAGCCAAATGACACAGAACTTCAGACACATTCAGGAACATTCAGATTCTGCTGAAAAGATTTGGATCCAAAATTATTTTTTCTGTTCATCATTCAGGAGCAGATATGTCACTATAAATTTGAAATGGGCTGATGTAAGAGCTTATTTGTTAAGTCCTGAAAGCCACAGTTTGCACTAGAGCATGAGTTTTTCTTTCCCAGTCTTCCTTTGTTGATCATACTCTGCCGAGCGCTCTGCTAAACTGGTATCAGAAATCCCAGCAGATGAGTCTGAATGGAGCACACTAGAACTAGCAGTAGACATGCTGCTCTGTCAGGCAGTCTGCCATAATCAGTGCGGTAAAACCTGACGTTATGAATAAAAAATGTCGTTATCAATTGAATGCCAATGTGAGCCGTGTGTGTCGCTCAGAGTGAACGTCACTTTTGTTAATGTTCATCACTTCAAAACTGATCCGTTCAGTTCACCATATTCAGTGGATACTGCTCATTCAATGTACTCATGCACAACACTGATTATTTCAACCTGGAGAGCCTCACACAGCAAAAAGCAGCAGTTACAAAGTTTTATTGACATGAAAAAAGGAATAGGTATTGGAGCTCAGACAGAAGACATCGATGCTGAATGCAGCTCTGTGTAACCAGGTAGTTTGGTCAGAGACATCTATCTCCCCAAAGTCTGACATTGGTTTTGGAATGGAGGCTGGAGAATAAGAGGAGAGTTAGGAGTCCAGTGAGATAAAGGTGGAGAAGAGGTGAAGCTGTTGAAAAGGTTTTCCTAGACAGTGACTGACTTATATGAGGGCGAGGAGCTGCGCTGATATGAGGCGGATGGTGATTAGGTTGGTTGCAGGTGAGGCAGAGCTTCATTCATCTATCTAGATCAGGGATCACCAACCTTTTTAAGGCTGAGGGCTACTTCATGGCTACCGAGTCATAGGAAGGGCTACCAATACTGACCTATGAACTGGAGGGATCAGTGTTCACCTACAGTAAATCTCATCCATAAAAACTCATCCATAGCCTGCAGATGAGGTTTTTTATACATTGCACATTTCGTAAGAAGGGTGGCCAATCTTTGTGCATGAGGCCCCTAAATGAATGGCTTGTGGTGCTTTCTATTTCTCATTCCTTCACATTGGAGATAAGGTTTCAAGAGTTGGAGTCCTTAGGGATTAGCTTATGTCTGAACATCAGGGCCTAAAAGGCGCTTCTTTTCCAAGGTTATTAAAAAGTTATTGGCAGATTATATTTTTCTAGCTATATCTTTTATTGATCATTAGGCTATTTAGGACCTTTCTATGTCTCCTCTATGTTAAGGCCAGAACACGCCGAATCCATATTTGCATCCGATCTGATAGAAAATCGTGTCGGATGAAGCCCTGAGGTTAAGCGCTCAATGAAAGTCAATGGGGATGACTGACTAAAATGGGACCCAGGTGCAAAGTCAAACATGTCTGCATTGGGGGAAAATATAAAATAAAATCTGTCAGTCTCACGGGGAAAGAGTCCCTTTTGGAGTCACATCAGGTATATAGTTGTCATGATCTTGGCGCTGATGGTTTGGTTTTTTCCTTTGCTCCTTGCTCCCTGTCTAATTGGTTCTCCGGCTGATTATCGCCGATCATTTCCACCTGGTTCCTCTACTATTTAAGTTGTGTGTTTGCCTCCCATCAGCGCCAGGTTATTCTTGTGTTTTTGTGAGATGTTCCCTAGCAATCTGTAGTCTGTCTGTTTTCCTGATTTTGACCAGTTTTCTGCCCTGAGGATCTCGAGTTTTGCCTTGCCTCTATCTGCTCTGTTTGTCGTATCTGATCTTGTATTCTACCGGCTTCTGGTTCTGGAACTGTCTTCTGACTTCGGCCTTGGAATTCCCTTCTGGACTCTGTTGCTGCTCGGTGTCGGCTGGCGCCCGCTCCGCTCGCTCTCTAGGAACTCTGGGGGCGTCACCCGCCGCAACTGCGGTCAAGCCCCCCTCCTGGAATCTGTTGTGTTCTCCGCGAACGGACTGAACTTTGAATCAGGTCAGTGACTAGCTCCAAGTCATATTCAGCTCCAGATCCAGTCCAGGCGAGCAGCAGCGCGCACCTGTTTGTTTAATAAACACTTTGAACTTTCCCACTGCCTGTCTCGCCTTGAATTCTGGGTGCAACATTCTGAGATCATTACATATAGTAGCTGGACAGACTGGTGCAAACACCATATCTCTTGGGGGAGTGGCGTCTTCGCAGTTAGGGCATAATGCTTGGATTCCTAAGGTTCTGAGTTTGATGCCCACTCCCACAGGCTGCCACTCTGGGTCCCTGACCAACTACTGATTGCCCCCCAGGCGCCCCACAATGGCAGCATACTGCTCCTCCAGGGGTAAAATACAGATAGTTCATTTCTCCAATGTGAGATCAATAAAGATAAATTATTATTATTTTTGACCACCATAAATGAAACCTTAAAAAAAGGATACTTTATCCATAATAGGAGATCAGAAGGAAAGAACACGGAAATATAATATTGATCTTTAGTGTTTATTGCAGTGTTTTTCTTTTCTTTAGACAAAGATCTCATTATGTTTTTAATATTTTAATATTCTCTATCTGTTCTGGTTCGAGATGCTGCACAGACTCGTTAAGTAGAGCTGGTGTTTTTGTATTTTTATTTATTTTTAATAACTTTCATTATCTGTTCCAGTCAAATGTGGGAAATTGTTTTAATGTGTGCACAGAGACAGAAGTGAAACAAATCTGTACAGATCTGCTCACCATGCTTAGTCAGAGTCTCTCTATATGCAGTCAGTGTGACACTGGAGAAAATTGGATCTGAGATTAAAAAGTTGTATGGAACCGGTGTGTTCAGGCCTTTAAGGACTGTTAATCCTTTGGTAAAATATCTTCACTTAAATCTTAAATCTTTAGCATTTGGAAATCATGAGCAAGCATTTACTCACAATTTTATGATAATTTTTTTTCATAGGTAGAATCTAACTGGAGTATGTACTTTGCATTTCACTGTTATTGGATTGCATTAACAATGTATTTCAATGTGTAGAACCTTGAGATAAAATTTGTTGCTAATTTGTGCTTTAGCGATAAACTGAATTGAATAGAATTATCTGTAGTTGCTTCAACACCAAAAAATCACTTTGTTTGGCAGAATTCTTGTGCAATAATTATTTGGATTTTACTAATTTGCACAATAAACCTAGATCCTAAAACATTTTTGTAAATATCCACCCATGCTCCAAATGAACAGTGTTGGGCAAACTACTTAGAAAATGTATTGATTTAGTCTACAAGTTATTCTACATTAAAGTTACCCAGCAGATAAATGTAGCAAGCTAAGCTACAACAAAATGACAAAAGCAGTTTCACTACATATAAGCTTCTTTTTTCTAAATTCAAACTTCCTTCAAAGTCATAGCCATTTATTGATCAAAGAAGCTGTGAAAAACAGATCAGATCCGTGTAATTGTTTATCAAACTCTTCTGTTTCAACAGCACTAGTACTTGTGTTAAAATTTCAAATATAACTTTACTATTGAGGTATAAATGAACATTTAATCCTTATATCTTTGGAAAATCCTGCATTTTACAACCACAACAATATCAATATGTCTCTAATATGACTAAATTAGTCATTGTAAGTTAGTCTTTAGATGAATTAAATCTTTGACCTACTTTGATCTGTTGATTTTGTCTTGCATTGTGTGGTGTTGCTATGGAGCTGTCTGTGTATAGCAAAATATTTATTGGCCCCATTTTGTACTACTGCCATCTGCACAAATATGATCCATTTCAATTTACCACAGTTTTGTTTTCTATAAAAAAAAAAACCCTGCACAAACTAATTTTGTTCTGCTTCTACTAACCATCCTGCATGAATCTTTTTCATGCATATTTATAACACATCCATGTTTTTGGCTAATACTATATTAGCTCTTGATGTTTGGTGGCTGAGTTGCGGTGACTAGCTTAGCAGATTGTGTCAACTACAACAAACTACTTTAAGTAGCTGCATGTTTCTCATTTTTACATTGGACTACTTTGGCATGAAGACGTTTCTGCCTCTGCATTCTCTTCCATTGCCTCAAGCTGATCTGGTAGCTACCTGCTGCATTTGACCATTCATGCTGGCATCTTTTTATACACTAGGGAAATCTTGATGATAGGTATTCAAAGTTAAAAGGCTGCTACAGTAGCACCCATTAAAAATGGCCCTTTCCAGTCAAAGCCAGCCGAATGGCAGCCTACTTCCAGCCTCTGAAGTGACCCCCTCCTCCTCCTGTATGGCCATACATGCATTTTGTTTACTCTAACTCCACCCTTTCATTGAATTACATGGTCTGACCAGGAAAACGCACTTCTCTTTAGATCTTAATGTCCACAAATATTGAAAGAAAGTATATTCTAGTACAAAGATTGATGTTTTAAAAAGGAATGTCAGGGGAGAAGCCAAGGACTAGTCAAGGACCAGTCAAAGTCCAGCCAAGGACCAGTCAAGGACCAGCCAAGGACCAGTCAAGGACCAGCCAAGGACCAGCCAAGGCAAGTAGGGAAATGTTGAATGGCTACTATTGTATATTCTCACAACGTCTGCGTCACGAGAAGAGGAGGGGAAATCTGTAAAAGGTCTAGAAATGCCTGGGAAGATGTAGTTTGAAGCTTCTGTGGACGAGATCTCAGTTCTACTACTGAAAAGCTATGTGATGTTGAAAACAGTGACATTAGGAGCACACTACTGGTAAATGTAGAGAAAGCTAGTAACGGCGCTACTGCCCATCACTGGTCATTGATCAGTTTGACTTTCCTTGATCCAGTACTACAAATAAACCAAAAAACAACAACAGTGTCTATCAAGTGATCCACTGATCATTGTACGGCTTTTCATGGACAACCAAAAATTAATGTCTAACTAGCCTTCGACGACTGATTCAAAAATCTATTGAACATGTTCCCATGCAGAGAGAGTCATGCTTTATGCTGCATTCATTTGATACATTTTGATTGTATAGTTTTAATGCTTCCAGCTTTCAAGGAGCCCATGTAATGAAAAACTGAACCATACATGTAGTGATTTTTCTTGTCGGTTTAGCTGTAACGTTCAATAGAAAATGCGCCTGAATCACTGGATTTGAAAGGTGTCCCTCTGAGCGACAGTTGGGAGCGATACAAGCCGCTGCTGTGGGAGTCCAATGGATCGTCTGACACCTGTAGTAGGAGAAAGAGAGGCAAAATAAAAGACAACTATACACCCATCTCAAATCTATTTCTTCCTTAAAAACAAGTCCTGTTAGTGATGCCCTGCTCTGTTCTGGAAACTCTTGTAGAACTTCTTAAAATAATTCTAGAAAAAAAAATATTTTTGTGAAATGAAGAACAACCCTTAGCATCATCAGACTGTCAAAGAATAACATTGTTGTCAGTCAGAGGCCTCTTCAAACCTGCTGGAAGACAGACGGCTACAGGAGATAATCCTGCCCAAAGCAAACATCTTCAATAACAGATTGAAGAAACTTACATAAAAGTTGCAATAATTTTCCTTTGGGGTTAATTAAGTGTTTTTGAATGGATTTAACAATTCAATTATACTTTGAATAATGGCATAAAAACAAAATGACCTATGCTTTTTCTCAACATAGTAGCTTTATCTGCTCTGTTCCTGTTTGGCTGTGACTCCATCCCGAAGAGAATAATCGGCTGTGCTGCTGCCATCAACACCTTTGTTTCTAGATGTTGGTGCTTGGCCTGTTTTTCAGTGTAGTCCTGTTTCTCTGACTGTGACTAACTGGATGTGCTCTCTTCATCCTCTGACATGGGAGCTGGCTCGGAGTTCGTCTGCGTGGCTGTGTGTTTCCTGGATGGAGCTGCCTGTGGAGCTGGTTGACAGTTGCCTTTTGTATCTCTGCTTCTTACTCTATGTCTGCTTCTGTCTCCTTGAACCCCAGTCGGCCTCAGCAGATGGCCGCTCACAATGAGCCTGGTTCTGCTGGAGGTTTCTTCCTGTTCAAAGGGAGTTTTTCTCTCCACTGTCACTGAAAGATGTCCTTGCAATCTCATCCAGGCAAACATGTCTTCCAAGTCAATGACTGGATGCAATCAGCTGCTTTTCCTTGATAGAAAACCTGACTATATTCTCCGTTAGATGCTTTGAGTTGAAAAAGCAACAACTACAGCTCCACCTCCCTCAGCAACACCTCTGTTTTTGGACTCAGTAAAATGGTGGGTTTTTAATATTTATTAATAAGGCCCTTTCCACTGACCATTAATGGTTGAATTTGGAAAATTTATATGTGATAAACTTAACTTTATACACGAAAAAATTAGCAGGAAAGCAATACAGTCTATTATTTTTTAGTAGCTCCTTATTCTATTTTATTATTTATCTTTTTATATTGTATTTATCATTTACTTAATTTGTAACCATTTAACTCAGTCTCCCCTTACATTTTATAAGGATTCATAGGTAGATGATGTAGCCCTGTTTCAACTGTGCAATATAGTCATATTGATAAAACAATTTCATGTTAATTCTATTTATGTAAACAAAACAAAACAAAGGAACAATGTGCAAGTGATAAAAAAATAATAAGTCAAAAAAGTAGAATAAATAGATTAATAAATGACTGTGGGAAGTTGGGAAAGTGATGAATAGCAGGAACAGTGGTATTAGCGTATAATGTGATCCATCCCTGCAAATCCGTTTTTTATAATGCGAGAATTTCCCTCTTAAAAAATCATGTCGTTGTATAGATACTAATGTGGCATTTCAGATTAAACGAAGAAGATTATCACCGCTATTCACTGGTGTGCGCTCCTCTTCTATCTTTTTTCTTCTTCTCATATAGCACAGTTTAGTCATAATTAGCGTTGAGTTCGAAGCTTCAAACAGTAGCCCAAAAACTTGTTTGGACTTAGAAAACATGCAAATTGAACCAGAAGATCCACCACTAAGGATATAGCATTGGTTTGGGTTCTTTGTTAGCCTGCAATACAAGATACTGATCTATGCCTCTGAAAGGGGAGATTTTTTTTGTGACCCTTTTTTTAAAGTTGTTTTTTTCTTGAAGAAAACTGAGGGGGTGGACTCAGGCTTCAGCTTTTAAAAACCTACAATGCAGAAATATGGTTGATTCCTTCCTGCTATCATCCCAACCCCCGTCCCCATGCAGGGGAAAAAATACCCTGCCTGGTCAGCCCAAATGACTGCACATTCCTCAGGTTAAGATCTTCTGGTATGTTTTCTAAGCCAAAACAAGTTGTTTCATCCATCCATCATCCATCTGTCTATCCATCCATCCATTATCCATCCATCCATCCATCGTCCATCCATCCATCCATCAGCCATCCACCCATCTATCATCCATCCATCATCCATCTGTCTATCATCCATCCATCCATCCTCCATTCATCCATCCATCATCAGTCCATATTTCCATCCATCCATCGTCCATCCATTCATCATCCATCCATCCGTCATCCATCCATCCGTCATCAATCCCTCTATCCACCAATCCGTCGTCCATCCATCCATCATCCATCCGTCCATCCATCCATACATCATCAATCCGTCTATCCATCCATCCATCATCCATCCATCATCCATCCATCCATTTATCATCCATCCATCTGTCCATTAATCCATCCATCCATCCTTCATCCATCATTTATACACCTGTCCATCCATCAATTCATCCATCCACCCATCCATCCATCTGTCCATCCATCCATCAAACCATCCGTCCATCCATCCATCCATCCATCATCAATCTGTCCATCCATCCATTATCCATCCATCCATAAATCCTTCCATCCATCTGTCCATTAATTCAACCATCCATCCTTCATTCATACATCTGTCCATCCATCAATCCATCCGTCCACCTATCCATCCATCTGTCCATTCATCCAACCATTCATCAATTCAATTCAATTCAATTCAGTTTATTTATATAGCGCCAAATTCACAACACATGTCATCTCAAGGCACTTTACAGTTCAACCAGATCATACAGTCAAATTGATACAAAGTTTTCTATCTAAGGAAAACCAGTTGATTGCATTGACTCATTGACTCAAATACAATCCCCCACACTAAGCATGCTTGTAGCGACAGTGGAGAGGAAAAACTCCCTTTTAACAGGAAGAAACCTCCAGCAGAACCAGGCTCAGTGTGAGCGGCCATCTGCCGAGGCCGACTGGGGTTCAAGGAGACAGAAGCAGAGATACAAAAAGCAGCTGTAAAAGGCGGCCCCGTCCAGGAAACACACAGCCAGGCAGACGAGCTCCAAGGCAGCTCCCATGCCAGAGGACGAAGAGAGCACATCCACTCAGTCACGGTCAGAGAAACAGGACCACACTGGAAAACAGGCCGATCTCCAACATCTATTAACAAGGGTGTTGATAGAAGCAGCACAGCTGATGTTTTTTTCCAGGATGACGTCACAGCCAAACAGGAACAGACGAGGCAAAGCTACTCTGAGGAAAAGCAGAGAGAGCAGAAGGTTAGAGATTGAACTAACAGATTCTGCAGAATAGGAGAACAGAGAGAAAATGAAGCAGAATGATGAAATGGGGGTCCCTATGTCCTCCAAAAGTCTAAGCCTATAGCAGCATAACTATAGAGATAGCTCAGGATAACCTGAGCCACCCTAACTATAAGCTTTATCAAAAATGAAAGTTTTAAGCCTAGCCTTAAAAGTAGACAGGGTGTCTGCCTCACGGACTAAAACTGGTAGTTGGTTCCACAGGAGAGGAGCCTGATAACTAAAAGATCTGCCTCCCATTCTACTTTTAGAAATTCTAGGAACCACTAGTAAACCTGCAGATTGAGAGCGAAGTGCTCTGTTAGGAACATAAGGAACAATCAGATCTCTGATATAAGATGGAGCTTGGCCATTTAAGGCTTTATATGTGAGAAGGAGGATTTTAAATTCTATTCTTGATTTAACAGGAAGCCAATGAAGAGAAGCCAGGATAGGAGAGATATGATCTCTCTTTTTCATTTTCATTAGAACTCTGGCTGCAGCATTTTGGATCAGCTGAAGGCTTTTAACTACAGTTTGTGGACTTCCTGATAGTAAAGAATTACCATAGTCCAGCCTTGAAGTAACAAATGCATGGACTAGTTTCTCAGCATCACCCCTGGACAGGATATTTCTAATTTTTGCAATGTTAAGAATTGGTCCTAGCACTGATCCCTGTGGTACTCCACAGGTAACCTTTGAGCGTGTTGAAGATCTATCATTAACATGAACAAACTGAATTCGATCAGATAGATAAGATTTAAACCAGTCTAGTGCTGTTCCTTTAATTCCAACAAAATATTCAAGTCTTTCTAAAAGAATATTATGGTCAACTGTATCAAATGCAGCACTAAGATCCAACAGGACGAGCACAGATACAAGTCCATTATCTGAGGCCATGAGAATATCATTAGTGACTTTCACCAGAGCTGTTTCAGTGCTATGATGAGCTCTAAAGCCAGACTGAAACTCTTCAAAAAGTTCATTATGGTGGAAGTGATCGCAAACTTGTTTGGCAACTACTTTCTCAAGAATTTTGGATAAGAAAGGAAGATTGGATATAGGTCTATAATTGACCAAGTCATCTGGGTCAAGAGACGGTTTCTTAAGCAGAGGTTTAATTACAGCAATCTTAAAAGCTTTAGGTACATATCCCTGTAACAGAGATAGATTAATCACATCTAAAATGGAGGAAGAGATCAAAGGGAATACCTCCTTAAATAACCTGGTTGGAACTGGATCTAACATACAAGTTGAAGGCTTAGATGAAGACAATAATTTTGCTAATTCAGAGAGTTCAACTGGATCAAAGCAGTCTAAACCCGGTTCAGATTCCATGACTACCTCAGGTACAATCGCGGATCGAGGAGTGCTTATGATCTTTTTTTTAATAAGATCAATCTTATTTATAAAGAATCCCATAAAATCATTGCTGCTAAGAGCAGGTGGAATGGACGGTTCAACAGTCCGTCCGTTGACGGACTGTTGAACCGTCCATCCGTCCATCCAACGATCCATCCATCTGTCCATTAATCCATCCATCCATCCTTCATCCATCATCCATACACCTGTACATCCATGAATCCATCCATCCATCCATCCTTCATCCATCATCCATACACCTGTACATCCATGAATCCATCCATCCATCCATCCTTCATCCATCATCCATACACCTGTACATCC